TATAATACATGTTTTAAGATGATGTATGTGAGCAAGAGGTAATGTAAATGGATTGATAATCCATAGATGAATTAAAAGTATTAAGCTCACCAAAATATGTATTTACATGCCATAAGATGTTAGAGATGCAAATAGACATGATAGAGATGCATATAGACACGATGGAAAACGCGTAAGCATATCCTCGTATACCGGTTGAGGAAAGATGAATATATGCTTTAGATGCTAAATAACGCGTAAGCACGCCTCCCGATGATATGAGCTCTAGATGAAATTTGAGGCTAGATGATATGAAGTGCTTAAGATGCTAAGAAAGGTCCGATCGGCTAGACGTTAAATGTTTCATATGCATTTAGTTGCATTACATGAGTTATGATGTTATTTACATCATGAGATGATTTATACTCATGTTAGATGATTTTAGATGTTATGTCATGATATGTGATGTGTGTGTACACATTGATGTTTATATAGCCATGGGATAAAATGATGAAAAGCATATGAATTAGTAATAAAAGGGGAAGTATCCCTAGATGTAAAAGATAAGTGATGTGTTAACAGATAAACGGATCATTCCTTACTGAGCGATTAGCGCTCACCCTTTCATTGTTGATTGCTTTGCAGGTAGACTAGAAGCGAGGGATGCTAGAGACAGCGGGACTACACGTGAGGGGAGATGATTTATTATCATCTCGATATTTTTATCTTGATGTAAATATGTAAATGATAAATATCTGTGAAATACATTTGGAAGCTTCCACCCTATAAATATGTTTTGATCTTGTAATTTCTTAAAGTTTGTAAATTATAAGTTTAGATCCTGCGTGATATTTTATATGCATGTTTTGGATATATTATTATTATCCTTATACAGATTTTTTCTAAATACAACTCGTTCTCCAGACATATATCCTCGGGATTCTCATTGAGGGATATTCAGAGGATACTTGACTGGAGGGGGGTTTTACACAATCCTTGCTTTACTAGTTCCAAAGAAAGATGGGACTTGACTCATGTGCATCGACAGTTGAACAAAATTACTATCAAGTATCATTTCCCCATTCCTCAACTTGATAACTTACTAGATTAATTGCATGGATCCACCGTTTTTTCCAAGACCTACGAAGTGGCTATCATCAAATTCGAGTGCGGGTTGGGGATGAATGAAAGACTACATTCACAACTCGTGATGGGCTATACGAATGGACAGTCATGCCTTTTGGCCTCTCCAATGCACCCAGCACCTTTATGCGTCTCATGAATCAGGTTTTTTTGCCCTTTCATTGGACAGTTTATTGTGGTATATTTCGATGATATCTTGATATATAGTCAAACCCCTGAAGACCATTTGGAGTATTTACAATAGATCTTCAAAGTGTTTAGGGAGCAAATACTCTTTGTCAACTTGAAGAAATGTGGGTTCCTAACAAACAATGTTGTCTTTCTGGGATATGTTGTTTCTAGCCAAGGAATTGAAGTGGACTAGAGCAAAGTTGAAGCTATTATCAGTTGGCTCACTCTGAAAACCCTTCATGATGTGCGAAGCTTTTATGAGTTGGCCTATTTTTATCGGCGCTTCATTGGAAATTTCAACTCTATTGTCGCTTCACTCACTGAATGCCTTAAGAAAATAGTTTTACATGGAATACCAAGGCACAATAGAGCTTTGAAGAATTGAAAGAAAGGTGAGCTAAGGCTCATGTGCTTGCCCTACCTAACTTCAAACCTAACTTCGATCTAGTGTTTGAAGTTGATTATGATGCCTCTAGTGTTGGTATTGGTGCTATACTTTCTCAAGAAAGGTGACCAATTGCATTCTTTAGTGAGAAACTTAATGATGCAAAGTTGAAGTACTTTACCTATGATAAAGAATTTTACGCCATTATTTAGGCCTTAAACCACTAGAGCCACTACTTGTGTCAAAAGAATTCATCTTATATTCCGATCATGAAGCCCTCAAGCATCTCAACTCCCAACAAAAACTCAACCGCCGTCATGCAGATTGGAGTGAGTTTCTTCAAGCCTTTCCATTTCTTCTCAAACACAAATCAGGTGTGCCAAAATAAGGTAGCCATGCCTTAAGTCACTGTCATGTTTTACTTTCCACCCTACAGTCGAAGATTGTTGGTTTTGAAGTTGTGAAAGAATTATATGAAGAAGATCCTAACTTTGGTAACATCTGGAAGTCTAGTTCTTTGCAGCCTTGCTAGCAATTTCATCACCAAGACGAGTATCTTTTCAAGGGCAACCAACTATGCATTCCCTAGTGTTCTCTACACCAGTGTATCCTTTGAGAAACTCCTAATGGAGGATTAGTTGGACACTTTGGTAGAGACAAAACCTTAGCTTTTGTGAACGAACAAATCTATTGGCCCAAGATAGAACGAAATGTTATTCGCCACATTTGAATGTGTTGTATTTGCCACATTGCCAATCTTGGAAATCAAAACACTATTACATATAAACCCTTACTTGAATCTCCTTGGGAAGATATGAGCATGGATTTTGTTATGGGTTTGCCAAGAACACAAAGGCAAAAAGACGCCGTGATGGTAGTCGTCAATAGATTTTCTAAAATGGGTCATTTTGTGCCATGTTACAAAACTAATAGTACTTATCACATTGCTGATTTATACTTCAAAGAGATTGTGCGTCTTCATGGAATTAAAAAAAAAAATCACCTCGAATCAAGATGTCAAGTTCATGGGTCATTTTTGGTGGACTTTATGGAGAAAAATGGGAACACGCTTACAGTTTAACTCAGCAAACCACCCCTAGATTGATGGCCAAACTATATAGTCAACAAAAGTTTGGGAAATCTATTGTGAAGCTTCGTGGGGAAACATATTTGCCAATGGGATCTTGTATTAGCACAATCAGAATTCTCTTACAATATACCTGTAAGCCAAACCACAAGAAAATGTCCCTTTGAAGTAGTGTATGAAAAACGCCCTCTTAGTCCTTTAGATCTTTCATCATTACCCACTACTTGTGAATTCAATGCTGATGCTGATAGGCATGCCAAACAGATCAAGAAGCTTCATGAAGAGGTTCGAGAGAAGATTCTTTGTCAGAATGCTAAGTATCAACAACAAGCCAACAAGCACAAAAGACCGGCTAAATTCAAGGAAGAAAACTTAGTATGAATTCATCTAAGGAATGAACGTTTCCCTAAGTCTCGAACGAAGTTGTCTCCTCATGTTGATGGACAATTCCGAGTTTTGAAACGTATTAATGATAATGCTTACAAGATTGAGCTTCCTGGAAATTATGGAATTTCTACTACTTTTAATGTTGTTGATTTGTCTTTTTACTACGAAGAACATGATGAAGATGTAGAACTTGACGGTGAGTCTCTTCCAATCTCGGAAGAATGACGCAGGAACAAAGAAGAAGAGGAAAAAAAAATTATTATTATGTTATGTTTGACTTTTATTTTTGTCTCACATAGAAAAAATAAGCCTTGGTTTTTCACTTGGTGGGCTATAAATAAACCTTATTTTGTGTTTTGTAATCATCTTAGAAATATTAATAAATATATCTTTGAGTAAGCATTTACTTCTTTTCCTCTTTTGAGGTTATAGTTATCCTTGACTTAGCCAACAAAGATAACATTTTTCTAACCTCATCACAATTGACATTTATAGTGGAGTTTCCAACCTTGCCAAGATTGAGTTTCTCACGACATCCTGGTGTCAATCAATATCTATTCGGTTGGACTCATAATTTATCATATTATATCATTAATTCGTTGTCTATTTTATATATTTATGATTCTACCTTATTTAGATGTTTCTTTAATTATAACTTAGTTTGAAATAAAATTGTAAGGATATAGTCAGTGAATTTGTTTGCATATTTTAATCAAATTCTTCATTATACAAAAAGTGTTGGACGATTAATGTATGAGCAAATGGAGAATGGGCTACCTGCAGCTGACACACACTATTTCGACGACAGATATATAATTCATTGAATTATGTATCTTTTTTGTCAGCTCACCTACTGGTTACAAACCTTCATAAATCTAACTCCCTAATAATTTCTATAAACTATTTTACCTTAATTACTTTTGTCTAAAAACCTGATTCTATTTACAATCTATCAGTCGTATGTTATTTCTATGCCATTCACATGGATTAATTTTAACACTTGTACAAATAGGTAGGTGACCATTCTATTAAATTACCTCATTAGAAGCCATAGGCACAATTATTCTTTCCCATGTATTAGTGGCTACTAGGCCAGTATAAAAAATTACCACTTACCTTACATATGCTCTATTGCACTATGCCTTTTTTGGATTCAACTTAACTTCAATCTCTTACAATAAAAATGAGTTAATTAAAACGCAACACTTCATTATCAAACCTACTCCATAATTGCTAAATTATGTACATACCTGTTCCACGTGCTTCATGTTCAATTCTCCAGCTCAATAACCTTTTAGTATTCTTCAAAACTCTTGCCTACCCTTCAACTAAGTGATATGGACGGACTAATTTAATTCATATTTAGAAGGAAGATACCATTAAAATTTAAAACTATAACGGTCCTTTAAATTCCATTAATGCCCTTTCTTTAATTTTCAAGAGTATAGATAGTATTGTAGCCATTTAATTGTAATATTCTATGATGTATATGATCCACAAGCATAAACTAAATAATAATAAAACAGGATTCTTCAAAATTATTTATATACTATGGTGTTGATATAGAATAAGAATATGATTAATTACTAATTAGATACTGTAGGAGTCTGCAAGTTGCCATTTTAAAAAAAAATAGTCGTTGCCGGGAAACACGAAAAATAGGATTGAGTTTGTGTGCGTCTCTCTCTCGCTCGCCTTCTCTTCTCTTCTCTTCTCTTCAGTCAACTGATTGCGGCGCCAAAGACACCGTCCTTTTTATTTCCCCTCTCAAATTTTGTTTTCTTTATTATTATAAATACTCTCTTTTATAAACCAAACTATTTTATTCTTTTATTTTAGAAACGAACAACTGTCCACCAATTTGACTTGCGGAGGTGTCCTCTGTTTGTTTCCCGAGAAAACACTCACATTTTGCTAGGAAACTCTCAATCTCTGACATTGGACTCACGTTCTAATTATCCACGTTTTCTCTTTGTTTCTCTTCAACTTTCCTTCCAACCTAACCCAACCTTTTGCTCTTTGTCGTTTACTTATCAACTTCTACCTCCTCTTCTGCTTTCTCTTTCTACGATTCTTACAATACGTTCCCCTCTTAACTTTTGAATTCGTGAAAATTTCCTGCTTTCTCATTGGTTTCCGATTCCGAGAAAATTCAACAATACAGCTTATATTGTGAAACATGTGTGCATTGAGCATGTGAGGTTCAATGAAGGAGAAGATTAGGGTTTCAACTGTAACAAAGAGTAAAGCGAAATGGAATCTGGAAAAGGAGTGCCTGAGAAGAAAGGAACTAATGCAAATGATGTCGTACTACACATTTCAGAAGCTGAAGAAGCTCCTTTTACTAAGCTGGAATCTTCAAATACTGAAGGAACAGAGTTGCAGAATCTGAGATGCAGAGACCAGGCATCCACATTTACAAGCTCACCCTCTCCAGAAATTGTAACTTCGAATCCAACTTTAAATAAGCCTCCTAAAATCCCAGCTCAGTTCTTAACTCAGAGAAAATCACTTGCAAGATCCGAGTTTTCGAAGCCCAAATCAAGATTGGTTGAACCTCATAATCCCAATGATGCTAAAGTGGTTGAAGAGAAACCAGCGTTGGTGACTTCAAGCTCCCCCTACAGGAACTCACCAAACGTTACCACTCCAAAAGAGAACTTGAAATCAACTCCTGTTACACCAAGAACACCTTTGATTGGAAGTCCAGGAGATGAGGATGAGGAGGATGAGGATGAAGATGTTTACAAGAGTAGTCTTAAAGTGAGTAAAAAGAAGGGTAAGAAAATGAAATTTTTTGTCATAATTGAGTGGATTTTATTGATAGGTATAACAGGCTTTTTAGTTGCTAGCTTGACAGTGAATAAATTGCAACACCGCGTGATTTGGGGTTTACAGCTGTGGAAATGGTGTGTGTTGATAGTGGTGATTTTTTGTGGTAGATTGTTCACTGGATGGTTTATGAATATATTGGTTTTCTCGATTGAAAGGAACTTCTTGCTTAAGAAGAAGGTTCTGTATTTTGTTTATGGGTTGAGGAGGAGTGTCAGAGTTTTTGTTTGGCTAGGTTTGGTTCTCTTAGCTTGGGGCTTGTTGTTTAATCATGGAGTTAAGAGATCAGAAAAAACTACTAAGATTCTAAATTATATTACTAGGGCTCTTGGTTCTTGTCTTATTGCTTCGGCTATATGGTTGTTGAAGACTTTGTTAGTTAAGTTACTAGCTTCTTCTTTCCAAGCTACAAGATTCTTTGATCGGATTCAAGAGTCAATCTTTCATCAATATATACTTAAGACTCTGTCGGGACCTCCATTAATGGAGATGGCTGAACAAGTTGGGAGATCAAATGCTCCTGGGCAGTTGAGTTTCATGAGTATAAGAAAAGAAAATAAACAGCAAAATGAGGAGGTGATTGATGTGGAAAAGCTGAAAAAGATGAAGCAAGAGAAAGTTTCTGCTTGGACCATGAAAGGGTTAATTAATGTCATAAGTGGCTCAGGCCTGTCTACTATCTCAAATGCACTTGACAATTACGAGGATGAGGAGGGTGAGCAGAAAGATAAGGAGATTACTAGTGAATGGGAAGCAAAGGCTGCTGCATATCAGATTTTTAGGAATGTGGCCAAGCCTCGTAGCAAGTGAGGATATCTAACTTCGAAAAATTCAGCTATTATGTTTTATAATTTTTTCTAAAATTTTCTCACCGTTTTTCTCTGTTTACCATACTAGGTACATTGATGAGGAGGACTTATTGCGCTTCATGAAAAAGGAGGAGGTGGACAATATGATTCCACTGTTTGAAGGAGCAGCAGAAACAAGAAAAATCAAGAGGTCCACTTTTAAGAACTGGGTGGTAAGTTAGTTGCCAAATTTTGCATAAGTCTTCGTGGTATCTAGTTTCCTAATTATATTCATGAGTTCAGATAACTCTCGGTGCTTCAATCATCAATTAATGTGTTTCCTTCACATACATTTTGGTTTAACTTATGGACTGCATCACTAAATCCATATTTCACGCATCACATACAAATGGAAGTCTGGAGGGATCAGTATATTAACACCACTAGATTATTTAAACAAAACTGAAAACCACTGCCAAAATACTTTTCAAGTTCTGTTTGCTATGACTAAACTGTGATCTCACTATATTGATTCTCAAAACCCACCCTTCTACAAGACTTTGTTTCTCAGTCCAGTGAACTTGAGTAAAGAAGTCTAGAACCTCCTTATGATTTGTTATGTATCCACTCTTATGAGCAAGTTATTTTTTTGCAGGTAAATGCTTACCTTGAACGAAAATCTCTGGCACATACCTTAAATGACACCAAAACAGCCATAGAAGAGCTGAACAAGCTTATTTCAGGAGTTGTAGTTGTTGTGGCTATTATTGTGGGGTTGCTTATTATGGGATTTTTAACAACCCAGATACTTGTATTCATTTCATCCCAACTCTTACTTGTGGCATTCATGTTTGGTAACACTGCCAAGACTATATTTGAAGCCATCATATTTGTGTTTGTGATGCACCCATATGATGTAGGCGATAGATGTGTCATTGATGGAGTGCAGGTAACTGTTTGATCCTGAAATTGTATTATTCTATTTTTTTCGGGTAACCTTATTTGACATATTTGATTCATCATAGATGATCGTTGAGGAGGTGAACATTTTGACGACAGTCTTTTTGAGATTTGACAATGAGAAAATATTCTATCCCAATTCGGTTTTAGCTACAAAACCCATCAGCAACTTTTACAGAAGCCCAGAGATGAGTGATTCTGTGGAGTTCTCTATTGATGTTTCAACGTCATTTGAGAATATTGGAGCTCTAAAATCTAAAATAAAAGCGTAAGTCTACTCTTTCCATCTGTACCTGTAATATGAGATTAAAAGTACATATTATGTATGAGTGGAATTGTTTTTCCAAAGATCGTGTGGCTGCAAAAAACTAGGCATGTATTACCGTGAACATTTCACACGGATATGGATTATCAGCGGTTGGCATCGGGGAAAGACTTAATTTACTTTTCTTGTTATTAAGTACATATTTACTTGCAAGTTTTCAACCAGTCATGAGACAGCAGTAACAGCTTTAGGATCTATCATGATGGACAGTGGTAGCTGTTGATGTTCATAGAGAAACTCACTCCCACTCAACGTGTGTGAAACTTAGGATACTAAGTTGATGTCTTGAAGAATTTTCACACTACTCAAGAAGCAAAGCTGAGTAGCCCTAACACATATATCTTCCTTAGATATTAGTCACCACTGTTGTCTTTTCTTTCTTGGTTCTTATCTGTCTTTCCAAGTTAACTGCTAAGCAGTGAGCTTTAATAAAGTAGAAGCGCACACAATAATGGTTTCATGTATGATGCATGTTCTTGTAGGTTTTACAGAATGACTTAGTTTCAGGCTGTGGTTCTTAATTCAATATTGGGACTATGGAAGCCAGACCTAAACCGACTCTTGTACAGCTTTACAGTGACATAAGATTATTTACTATTGTATTCATAAATGGTGACTGGTTTTCTGCATGATTCAGATTATCAGTGGCAATGATTGCTCTTCCTTATGCAATCTATTTAGGCAAATATTTTTTGGTGAAAATATCTATTGTAATTGAAATGTTCCCATGTTAGCTGATCTTAACTAAACCACAGTAAATATTTAATCGCTTGAATTGTCTAAATGGCCTCAAGTTCTTCAACTTAAAATAAGGAACAGATTAGCTTAAGTCGCTCTTCTAGGTCTAGGTACATGATTATAGTTGTGCTTCTACAAACATATAAATAGTCTGAAAAGCTTATGTGAATCATTCTAATTTCTGTTTGTCAATTGGTTAGCCTTTCATCTTGAACATTGAATGGAAAGATTGTACAGGGTGTTTGATTTAACTTGGGTCTTCCCTTCAGATCTTTACAAGTAGGTGTATCTAGATTGCCATCTATGTGAAGTTCATGATTTCACATCATTGTTAATGCTATTCATTCTCTTTGTTTCTATCTTTTTCATTTTTCATATCATATTGAACAGTGAAGACTTTATTCTGGAACATCAGGTACTTGGAGAGCAAGCCACAACACTGGCGTCCAGGTCACAGTGTGGTGGTTAAGGACATTGAGGATGTGAACAAGATGAAAATGGGTCTCTACGTTACACACACTATAAACTTTCAGAACTATGGGGATAAAAACAGTCGAAGATCTGAACTAGTCCTAGAACTAAAGAAAATATTCGAAGAACTTAATATCAGATATCATCTTCTACCTCAAGAAGTTCAGGTCAGCTATGTCGGGTCAGCTGTTCCACCTCGTGCAAGGTGATGATCTTTATTGACAACACTTGTCCCTAATACACACACACACACACACACACACACACACACAGAGACTACCTCTTAACTCTTAAGAGTAGCACTTTAAGTTTCTTCAACATTCTCTCCTCGTTTTCATTAACAAGGACAGAGAAAAAGAAACACCAATTTGAATCATTCAGTTTCATTTGGTTTTTCCCGTTGTTTATATGGCGGAACTGACTTGTGATCAACTTTTGGATTTTCATTTTTTCCTTGTTGAGCGTAGATGATCTTGGGGAATGCAGGGATTTGAAATAGAAAGGAAAAAGAAACACATTGATCTTCGGGATGTGCTGTAATTCGTCTCAAGGAAGATTGCTAATCCACAAGGGATACCAATGATTATTTGATCAGTTCATGGTTTAATTTTCCATAGTTGAGTGATGGTTGCCGCTTTTCTTCACTCCTGTGGTCTCTTCATTTGTAAGCACGGCTCTTTCATTCAATTTACATACGGGTGAGAAGTAGTCAAATGATAGACATTAAATTTCTTTTTAATCATATTTCACTTAGATTCAATTGAAATTTCTATTAATCATTAAATGCAATTATGTAATTAAATTTTGTCAAGAGTGATGCTATTAGCCCCTATAATTAATTTTAATAAACGTTACTTCTAAAATTACTGTATTAAAATTTTCAAACATTTCTAAGTAAACTCCATACATTTATAAAATAACCCTTACTTTTATATTTTTGCTACTCCTCGTTATATATATATATATTTTATCTTTATTTAACATAACAATCAAACATATAAACAGTTATGCAATTAGAATTACATGTATTTTCTTTTCTTTTTTTAAAAAGAAAGAAAGAATACCAAATTTTTAAATTTTATAAATGCGTAAATCAATTGAAAGTTAAAAAAAAAATAAAATATGATAAAATAACCCTAAAGATTTTAATGCATGTATATTATTGATCAAACTCATTTCATCTTGATTATACCAAAATAAAATTAGAGTTTATGATGTAAAAGAAAAAATAGAAAATTTAAATTAATATTAGAAGATTTATTCTAAATGAATTATATATAAAATACTCTTGAACCTTATTTAATAATTTTCATAAAGAATAAAACTATAATTAAGAAGAAAATAATAATTAGGACCAACTAAAATAAAAGACGGGGGCGTACACATTTCCGGGTTTTTGTAGCCTTTAATTTTATTCGGGTTTAGAGTTTGAGGCTTGGCAGAATGCAACAAATTTGAAGACAGGCCCAAAATGACTTAAAGCCACCTAACCCATACTCTAATTAGTATTAGCCACAGACACACGAGGCATCTCAATTCCTGGCTGTGAACTCCCAAATTTCAAACTTGATGGTGATTGGGCCAATTAGATAACCTTATCCACTCTTCCATATGGAGAAACTGCCACGTGGGACAGAGATAAAGTTGACAAGCCTTCCCAATATCTAAATTTACGACCTCTCATTAGACCACCACTACTCCACTACCTCTATCTATTATCTAAGCTACCCAAACCCTCAGAACACCCTCTAGAATTAACGGTAAAACAAGCAATTGAAGAGACAGAGAAACTTGAGAAGAGAGGATAAATGGCTTCAACTTCAGCTGTTTCAATGGCTATGCCATTAACTCAGGCAAGCCAAAAGAGGGTGCCAACCTCTGAGGCCTTTTTCAAGCCATTGCCAATGAAGCCGTCCAAGGCAATTGCGGCATCAAAATCCAACGGCAGGTTTGAAGTTAAGGCTTCTTCTTTCAAGGAGAAGGCTGTCACCGGGTTGACGGCAGCTGCACTGACGGCTTCCATGGTGATCCCAGAAGTGGCTGAAGCTGCCGGATCTGGAGTTTCTCCATCCCTGAAGAACTTCTTGCTCAGCATTGTAGCCGGTGGTGTTGTGCTTACTGCAATTGTTGGTGCTGTGATTGGCGTGGCCAATTTCGACCCCGTCAAGCGGAGCTAAGACATATAAATTCTTAGAATGATGGAAAGTGTTTTCCACTTTTATGTATCTGTTTAATGTTTTCAGCTATGAACTGTTGTTTGTGTAATTTGGCGGAAACCTGTGAATTCTGAAATTTCTATTCATTTTTCGCATTACAATGGAACATCAAACTGGTTTCTTCACTGCTCTTTTCTACCCCAACAATTACTCTAGAGTTATATTATTACTGATCGTCCCTCGATACAGAGAAATTAGAGACAACAATCAAGTTAACATCTGAAGAAAAAATAGAATCATAACTTTATCTGACAATACTTTTCAAAGCTCCACAAACAAAAGAAGGAATCTCAATTCCCATTCCATCAGGTGATGAACTCTACTCTAAGCATGCTAATATAATGTTCTCAAACAAAGAAATAGAGAAATGGTCCTAATTCTAAATTGCCGAGTGCAGAGCATTCCCATCGCCAATTACCAAGCACTCAATTTAAGGGATGGCAGAAAACTAATGATACCACTTACTACCAAATGGCGCCTAAAAATGCTGATCAATTCAAAGAACCACAACTACACATTTCTTTTTACTGCTGATCATTCATTTAACCTTGGTCTAAAATCATTCACCTTTTGAGCTTTGATATCAAATCGAGAAGGTACCTACTTTCAGAAGAATAATTCAACTGGTCTGCTTTAATAACAGTGATCTTCACCCTCTGCTCATCTCCATACATTTCCTCTTTGATCTTAAGCCTGAAAAGGTATTGGTTAAAGACTCTACTCCTTATTATCTCTCCGAATTTGATATCATCCTGCAATTCATATTTCAACACATACAACTCCTTGGCCGGGCAGCCCATGATCTCTTCACCAGATTCCTGGAAAGCTGTTACCCAAGTCAAACCTGTCTCGTCTTGAATCTGGGCCTGAAGTAGATATCTGTAATCACATTCCTCAAATTCTTGATTGCACCTGTTACATTCCCATCTGTTTCCAGACTGTGTCACTTTCTTATTGCACTGTCTATCTCCAATCATCAATGGGCAAGCCGTATAACAGAAAGTATCTGATTTAATAAAAGTTATGAATGCCCTCACAGTGATCCAGTCGGGCTTCTCAGATCTTCCAAGACCTTCATCCTTGATCTGAGCAACAGTTTTGCGTATTTCATTCTTAGAACCAGCTGCCAGCATTTCTCTAGAAATGGACATGGAAGCAGTATCCTTTCCCCCTCGATCAAACCACTCTCTCAGGTCACGGGCCTCTGGGAATTCTGGATTTATAAAGAGCTGGGTTGAAGAGATCGTCCCAATTGATTTCCCACTGAAATCATTAACCTTCCCAGCTTTAACAGCTAAAACAGGGAAAAAACCAACATCAACCATCTCTTGCAGCTTTTGACCATCCTTACTGCAGAAATCTCCCCAAAGAGTTAGCTCAATACTCCTACCAGATCTATCCTTCAGATTCAAAATTCTTCTCTGAGTTTCCATGCCGTTCTTTCTCAAGATAGGAACTGACGGGTTCACAGATATCACAATACCGATAACATCAACTATGGAATTGTTTTCAGCATTCTCAATTTCACTGATAGGTCTGAAGGAGAACTGCTGTGTTGGTATTGAACCATCCTCCTCAGGGCAAAGATCCACGGTTGAAGTAGCCTCCAAAAATATCTCCCATTCATTCTTCAAATGGTTAAAATTCTTCTGTGCAGGTTTCAAACTACCTTTTGAAATCAAATAGACTTTACCAACCTCAATAACATCATAGAAGCGGTCAACAATAGCATTAAAACAGGTCACTCTTATTTCCCCTCCATCAGAATCAAGGAGGTCAAAAGAGAAAACCTTCCCATCCCCCCGAGCATTATTGTAGCGTCGGAGATCTCCCTTCGCAGTCACTCTTGCCTTGATAGCCCACCGGCCTTGGTAAGGATTCAACGCAGCAATAGGAATGATTCGTGCCGGTGCCTCATTCTTCAATATTGGACCATGATTTCTGTAGTTTGGAGGTGGTTGGTATGATGGCTGAACAGTGGGTCGAAAACTCTGTACATTATTGCCAGGATATGGAGCCCTAAATGTGCCAGAATTTGCCGCTCTGAATGTTCCAGTATTTGGAGTTCTTGTGGTAGAATTTGGAGTAGAAAATGTGCCAGGATTTGGGGCATTATATGTGCTAGGATTTGGAGCGTTAAATGTGCTAGGATTTGGAGCACCGAAATTATTAATCTGCACCGGGTGCTCTGGGTTTCCATTTGGAATTGCTCTTTGAGTCGTTGACGCCGATTCTGTAAACATTTTTGGATTCCCAATGATTTCGCAGTCCAGTATAATAGTTTCCATGTTCAGTACAACAATAATCCTGCACAAAGAGGGCAAAATAATTATGCACAAAATTTAAATACAACCCATGGAAAATCAAAGAAAGAAATTACTTTTCCAAAGATTTCACGATTAAATTACTTTTCCAAAGATTTCACGATTCAATAGGCCACAGAATAATCAATCATTTCCAGAAACACATACAAAGTTCTTTATTCTTGCTTCCCTTGATCTTCATACAAAGCAAAGCTCACATTATTTTGAATTAAACAACTTACTCAACCTCCACAAATCCTGAGGCAATAAAGCGACCAATTCCAAACAAATAGACCACAGTATGAGATCTGATTAATATTTATATCTAATTTTAGTGTTCTTTTTCTTTGCACTTATTTTCATACTAAACTGCTTTGCAAGTCAAGTAAATATAGCACACTTCATAGCATGAATAAGATGCCTATTTCCTTCCTAAATCAAATCGACAAAAAGAAGCAAGTTAAAACTACTCTGCACGACAGTACAGAGAAAGTGATCGTGAGTGTCGCATAATAACAACCAAATATTACATATAAACCACTTAGTTTAAGAATTAAACCTAGACAATAATTCAAAACATAAACACTAGCCTCATTTTCATAAAGTTATAATTAACAAGTGTAAAGTTAGCATGTCTTTGTTTGTTTAGAACTTATAATTCTGATTCAACTTACACTTCCGCTGATCAAATAAAACTACTATTAATTTCACAATACTTGTTTTTTTGTTTTTTTCACATTTTAAAGCAAAAATAAATATTCAATAGAAAATTTGCTTTCTAATGCACTGAAACAAAAAAAAAAAAAAAAAAAAAAAAAAAAAAAAAACTGCTTCCAAAAGTATATTATTAAGACGCTAATATATAAAGCATCAACTAATTAAACAAAATAACAAAGCGATTAACATACTTGCGATTTTGAACAGTGCTGCAGATGTATTCAATCAACTGAACAACGGATCCTTCTTGACTTGACCAGTCTTGACTCGGTCGTTAAGCTGAGTGGCAAGCATCGCGTGCTGAGTTGAGACCGGTCAGAAATCAAAACCGGTATCGCTCCTGAGTGCTCCCAATCAGCTTTATATCCATGACCTGAACCAGCGGTTTCGAGTTCATATCTCCGCCATTATGGAGGCAATAGCGTTAGGCGTCAGATGACAGGCATCGTTCGATTAAAAACAAAAACAAAAACAACAAATTGGTAAACTCTTTGGAGAACAGAAGGTAAGGAGGAAACCCTAGATATGAAAATGAGAGAGAGAGAGAGAGGGAATATTGAAGCCCTATCAATTTTTGTTGCGTGGAGATACAAGAGAGAGATCTGATTTAAAAGAGGCAGAGCGGTGGTGGCGAATGAATGAAATTTTGAGGGTGGTAATGGCGGGGTATTAAAGGGTGCGATAACCGAGTTGTATTTGATTTTAAAAATGCACTTGTGGCGTGGCTTGTTGCACAATTCTTTTAGCGGCGTTTGGTTGCCGTATTATTTGGGTAATGTCATTCTAATTATTTGATTATCATATTTAGTTGTCAAGTAATATAAGATTTTATAATCTAAATACTAATAATAGTTTTATTGGTAACATTTGAGGTAATCTGATTACCTCTATTTTCTTAGGTATTCTGGATTACCAGGGTTATCCTTTTTTTTTAATTTTATCCCTTATTGATAAAATTTGGACAATAATGTCCACATTTTAAAATAAATTTACATTTATCCTATTTCAATTTTATCTTTATTTAACTAAATTTTGGATAATAATATCCTTGTATTTAAAACAATTTACAGACCACTGCCACTCAGCCACCACCACCACTACCACTCAGCCACACCACCACTGCCACCCAGCCACCACCGCCTACAGCAGCCAACCACCATGGACCGCCTTCGAAACTCGTCAAAGTCCCTAAAAAAGAACAAGTTCCTGTGGAAGGCTCCGGAGTCATCGCTATGGCCGTTTTCGGCCATATTGATGGCCGAAAACGGCCATAATCAGCCAGATCTCGCCCAGATCTGGCCGATAATGACCAAGGATCTGGCCATTGGTGGATCTGGCCAGAAATGGCCAGAATAGATTTGGTTATTTCCGGCTAGATTTGGCCTGATATGACCGTTTTCAGCCATCAATATGGTTGGAAATGGCCATATCGAAGCCTCTTGGTCACGGTGAGTTGCTGATGGGGACTTTCGAAGACTTCTGGCGGTAGTCTGCAGTGGCAGCAGGAGGTGGGGGTGATTTCATAATAAATTAAAGTTTTATATAAGCATGAGTGTTTTAACTAAATCTGAAATATTGGTGGTTAAAAGAAATTATTTAAAAATTAATAATAAAAATAATATTATATTAATATTTGTAAAGGAGACAATTTAGTAATTTAAATAACATACCCACCAACTAACCAAACACATTTTCTTAAAGATTCCTAATACTCTTTCAAGGTAATCTATCTTTCCAGTAATCCAATATTCCCAATAATCTAATATTTCTGAACCAAATGCCCCTTAGTAACATGAAAGGATTTTCAATTTCCATGATATTAGTTTAATATACAATACAAGTTATTTATATATTTATAATTATTAAATAATAATTCGCTGATTTAAATAATAACTCTATCTTTTCTTCAAAGTTTTATTGAATTATATTTAGTCAAAATTTTGTGTTATAGTTTATTCATTTGATTTGATTATATATATAAAGCCTTTTCTTCAACTCACATAAGATGGGCAAAGGCCGGGCCCAAGCAATCCCAGGCCCGGGGGTTTTAGATATTTATCAAGGGTTTATGTAATTGAGTGGGGGTTTTCAAAAATTAACGGGTTGGGTCCTGGGACCGGGTTTTAGGCCCGGGCTTTTTTTCCCACCTCTTAAATTTATTTTGGATATTAAATGCTTGTAATCTAACATATTAAAGTGTTATCACTCTTGTTCGGATCGAGTCCGTCTAATTTTGATTTGACATGTCCAATTCAACTGATCCACATTCAAGGCCAGTTTGGTGGGTGTATTAAAGTAGCCTGTTCAATCCCATCCAGTAACAATATTGCTTTCTTCAAACATATATATTATTAATGGTTGAAAGATTTAAAAAAACATTTGCAGAGAGCTTAACTATTTAAAAAAGCTTCCTTCAAAACATAACCCGGTGCATATACTTTAAAGCACACATACATATGCAAAAGTAAAGTTTCAGAAATACTTTTTTAAAACTGCTTTATCGTTTTTTCCCCCTCTTTTAACTAAATTTCACTCTGTGAATTGCCAAAGATTCCACGTCCATGAGTAAACCTGGAGCTTTCTTCTGTATAAATGTGAGTTTCATTCACCAATCTGCAGTAAATGTAAACTCAATTAGAAAGCATCACACAAATATGAGATTGATTGTAATAAATAAATATAAAACTTACGAAGTGTGAAGGGTTTTATTCATAATGGTGGATGAAGCAATAGATGCCCCATCTAGATACTGCAGCTCCCCTCTGATTCTCTCTCTGATTCTAACTTCCAGTTCTTCAACATCCAACTTCAGTGGTTCATCTGAAGCCTACATTTGATTTATGTAAATTCAGTATCTAACAATAATCAATTTAAAGATGCAAAATCATCAAACATCAAGAGTAACATACCAACACCCATCCGCACGTATCTACAAAAGAAGGCACATGAGCGGTGTATGCTACCACATCTGCATGCCCAATTAATAAGTATTTTATGAAATTAATATCGCCTGAATCAAAATTACATTGAATGAAAAGAAAACACCTACACTTGAAAACATGTTTTAAGGTGTTGTATATTGAAGTAAAGACCTCCTTGTGGGTGAGGACTCCAGCTAAAGTACCCAGCATAATATGAATGTATATATATATTTTATTTTTAAGTTTGGAGGAGGAAGGAACACATATCCTGTTAATATATCATCTCAAGTAGACGATGAATTGCACGAACGAAATAGAGTTAATTACTTGAGTGACAAAGATGCCAGAGTCGTTGAGCTTGGGCTTGAGAACTTCCTCATAGAAGGTTTTTGTGTAGAGATGATTGCAAGGACCTCCCTCAAGTGGGTCTGCCAAGTCTCCTATGATAACATCAAACTTCTCACTCCTCTTCTCCAAATCATCCCTAATCCAATTCCACCATTAATTTGCTTTTTATCATTTCAATCAAACTAATAGAAAGTTCCAAGAAAAGAGAACCACTCACTTTGCATCATTAAAAACTAATTCCAGCTTTTCATTGTTAAAGGCTTCTTGGTTTACTGTCAAATGGCTACGGCAGAAGTCTACAACCACCTGCACAATTCTCACAAAACCATTTATAAATATATTTGCATAAATTAAATGAAATAGAGGTTATATATATATATATACACACACCCGCACACATATAATAGCAATGATGATTTGATTTCTTTTGTGTATATAATTAATTGAATAACAATCCAAAATGACCACCATACCCTATCAATGTCGCACATCACCACTTTCTCTATGTCCCTGTGCTTCAGAACTTCCCTTACAGTCGACCCTTCGCCGCCTCCCATTATATATACTGTTTTCGGTCTGCAATTAATATTATTCCCATTGTCAAATTAAATAAAATAATATATATTTTTAAGTATATATAATTCTTTAACAGAAAAACGTATGTACTTGTGATGAAGTAATAGAGCAGGATGAACTAAGCTTTCATGGTAAATAAACTCATCTCTTTCAGCACTCTGCAACTTTCCATCAATCACCAAAACCTGTACCCACATTAACCATCAAACCACTTCTTTAAGATCTCTACTATCTAAACAGGCCAAAAGCTATAAATAACTTACCTTTCCAAAGTGTTTTGTGTCCAACAGAGCTATCTTTTGGAAGGCGCTAGTACTTCTATGCAAAACGCTGGAAAGAGATTAAAATCATATTGTCAAATTTAGACTCAAATTTAATTTATCGTATTTTGGATCGAAACCAAAATTGACATGTTATATTATGAAGAAACTCGTCATCATTCGAATTGTGAGGTTAAAGTACCTGTTCAAAGCAAAAGACAATTTGAGATCAGGATGAAGTTGCTCTTCAAACCATTGTTCAATTTGTAGTAGCGGCAGCTGCCATCTATAGGTTTCAGCGTCTTGAAGCGGGGACTGAATCAGCTGATCATGAGGACCGTCTGGGACTTCTTCTTCAGTTATATTATTATCAGAATTCTCATTGAAACCATGAAAAGGAACATAGAGAACCATAATCGCATACAGTAAACACCACATTTTAATTTGTTTGAATCCCAGCTCTCAATGAATCAAGATTTCAATATATAGAATTATAGATGAAGGTTAAGGGGTAATTTGTGACGAGCCCATGTCCAGGTTCAGGGGTGATTTTGTTTGAATATGGAATCCCTGTCATAATAAAGGTCATTAATTTCATTTAAATTGTACAGAGATTTCTTTTCCTTACGTAGATTTTGTAAGTTAAAAGACTACTTTTTATGGACAGATTTCTTCTGTTATGTAATCTGATTTTCTCACAAGATTAATATTACGTGTCTTAAAAGATATCTCAAAATTTACATCTTAAACGATGTGTCATCATATTTGATAATGTCATGTCATTCATCAATTTATCACTTCATTTAAATCTCAATATCACATAACTTTGAGGGCGTGTTTGGTTAGGAATAATGGGGAATTACTGAGGTAATGTTATCTTATATTACTTTATTACTATGTTTGGTTGTTAAATAATATAAGATTACGGTAATTTTCTAAAACTAATAATAATTACTGTTGATAATATAGGAGTAATCTAATTACCTCCATTTTCTTATGTATTTTAATATTACTTGGTAATCTTATTTTTGTTACAATTTTACCTCTTATTAATAAAATTTTTGGATAAAAATACATTTATTTTGAAATTAATTTACAAATATATTCATGAAATATTTTATCCTTATATACAAATTTTTTAGGACATAAATACCCATAGACTTTAAAAAAATTACCCAAGGGTGGTGGCCAGATCTGGCCACCATAGCCAGTCGCCGACAGGCGACGGAATGGCGCACGAATAACTAGATCTGGCCAGTCGTGCGCCATTAAGGCTAACGTCTAAATCTGGCCGTGAATCTGGCCATGAATCTGGAAAAGGCTTTACCAGTGCACGATCGGCTAGATCCAGTCGGTTGTACGCCATTTTGACGATGGTGGCTGGCTGTCGGTAGTGGCTTAAGGTGGGTGAGGGTGATTTTGTTACAAATTAAAGTTTTATATGGTTTGGGTGTTTTAGAAAAAATTCAAATGTAGAGGGTTAAAAGAAATAATTTATAAAATAATAATATTATATTAATATTTAAAAAGGAGGGCAATTTAGTAATCTTATAACATAATTTATTCTTCCAACCAAACATATTAATATAACATACCCACCAATTTATTCTAACCTAACCAAACACATTTCCGTAAACATTCTCAGTAATCTTCAAGGTAATCTATCTTTCCATTAATATAACATTCTAGGTGTGTTTGGATTAGGGGCATATAAGATAACGAGGGTAATCTTCATTTACTTTGCAAAATTCCAGTGTTTGGTTTGCAAGTAATAAAATATTACGGGAATATTTTATTGTAAATAGTGTTTACTGTTGGTAATGTGGTGGGTAATCCGATATCCTCCCCCACCCCTAGGATTAAAACATTACTAGGGTAATATGATTTTTATACCTATTTTGCCCTTAATTAGAAACTATGTCGGACACAATTGCCCTCAAATGTCTACTAAATAACAATACCCAGCCCCCATATATTTGAAAAATTAGCTAAAATACCCCAACCACAAAAAGTTTAAAAGTTAACAAAATAACCCCAGCCAGCCATTACTCACCACTGTTGGCCACCGGCGTCAGTCACTGTAACGGTGCACGACCAACGGGATCTAACCGGTCGTGCACTGGTAAGGCCTTTTCCAGCCATAGACCACAAATCCATGACCGAAAACAACCAGATCTAGTTTTTTCTATAGCGTTTCATGGCCAAAGATCTTGCCTTTTCACGGCTAGATTTGTGACCATGAAATGGCCATAGATCTGGCCGTGAAACGGCCATGGATTTGTGATCCATGACAGGGAAATGGCTTTGTCGGCGCACGACCGACCATATACGGCCAGTCATGCACCATTCCGTCAACTGCCGACAACGGCTAGTGATGGTAGCTGGTTGCCAGTGGTGGCTTGGGGTGGGTGGGGGTGATTTTACTACAAATTAAAGTTTTATATGGTTGGGGTGTTTTAGCAAAATTTCAAATGTAGGGAGTTAAAAGAAATGATTCGAAAAATAATAATAAAAAATAATATGATATTAATATTTAAAAATGAGGGTAATTTAGTAATCTATATAACATACCCACCCACTTATCCTCCCAATCAAACATATTATTCATCAATTTATTTGAACCAACCAAACACATTTTCTAAACATTCTCAATACTTTCCGTTAATATAACATCCCCCTATAATAAAACATTATATGATCCAAACGCCCCCTGTCAGTAGTATAACAATCTCTAAACTAGACACACCCTGAAGGAATTTTGGGATAGCTTTTGGAATTAATTATATTATATATATACACTGTCCGATACAAACTAACATGACATCAAGTGAATGAATAAATTTGCACTTAACTCAATTCATAAATATTGAATTGGTATAGATAAATGATGTGACAATAAAGGAGTTGTGTCATGTTACTTTTAGAATAATTCTAGATGTACAAACTCTATATACAAACTGATTTAATACAATGGATTTACAGAGAAAAAGAAATCCACAAATATTCAATTAATCAGATGAAAAATATGACAATAAATGAGTTAATCAACCCTAAGGGATTGGCCTAATGGTCAAGAAGGTTTTCTCATTTCATTGACTTCTTGGGTTCAAACCTTGGGGCCACCTACCAAAAATTAAATTTGTGGCTTACCTGGTACATTTGGCTTGTATCCAAAGATTAGTCGAGATACACGTAAGCTGGTTTGGACACCCTAGTGATAAAAAAATAATAGTAATAAAAAAATAAAAAAATGAGTTAATCAATTTGTTAATGTTCTATATGTAACCCCACTTTATTTATAAAGAGTTTATATATTTATTACTCCCTTTATTTTTTTATAAATGTTGTTTAGAGAGTGTTAATTTTTTTCAAATTAAATGACGTTGTCTTTTCTTGACCCACATCTCCATTCTCCACTTTGTCCCTCATCTCCTCTCTCTACTTTTTTCTATGGCCCAAATCTCCTCTCTCTCTCTTTATCTATTTTTTCCCCTCATCTCCTCTCTTCCACATTTTCCATCACCCACATCTTCTTTCTCTACTCAGCCTCTCATCTTCTCTCTCCACTTTTTTCTGTGGCCTACATCTCCTCTCTCTTTTTCACTATCTCTTCCCTATCTCCTCTCTTCCACATTTTCTATCACCGATGTCCCCTTTCTCTCTTTCTCTATTCCGACCCTCATCTCCTTTCTCTCTTTATCTACTAAGGTTGTAGAACCTGCAAAAAGGAAGGAAGCACCTTTCAATTAAAAGCATGTATGCTATGATCTCTTGTGTACTCTGTAACCTCTCCTTTTTTTTTTTTTTTTTAAATAAAGTTGCATTTTTGTTTAGGTTATTGAGATTCTCAAACGTGAAGTGGCTGCGCTTGCTCAATTTGGTCAAACCTTGATGTTGCAACTCCGACATTGCTCAATCTAGCAGTCCGGAAGATGGTTGAGTGGCAGGTATTTCTTCCTTGCTTTGATAGCATTTAATTGCATTGCCGCCACTATTTTGTGCTTTGTTTGTTTATGAAGTAAAATGTGTGTGACAAAGAAAAAAATGTTATGGTTGACTATGGTTGATGTTGTTGCATTATTGTGTTTTGCAAATTGAGATTCTGTAAATACATCAGGCTGTAAACATAGTGGAGATTATGAGTAGTAAACTTTCGAATGAAGAATTAGAACAAATGAGGATATGGGTGCCTTTATCATGTAAGTGGCTTTTTGTGTTTTCTTAAGGTTATTTATTCTTAAAAGTGATAATGGTACATTGTTGCATGACTCATTTGACTATTTAATTTATGAATGATTAGGTTTTGAAGATAATCATAGCATCAACAATGAGGCCAAATTAATTGACATTGAAGGCAGTCCAAGCATTACAAATCAATCTGGAATGGTGGATGTCAATAGTGGAGGTTTTATTTGATTTTTTCTCTGGTTGATGTTAATACACTTTTTTTTTTTGCTTTCATCAATTCAGTTAATTAGTTACAATATTTTCTCTTATATAGTACATGTTGCAAAAAACAATGTAGAAGGTGCATCAAGACCGATTGTCAAAATTGAAATTTCTGGAGTTTGGAATAACCAAGAAAAATTAGTAGTGGGCATTGTAATGCATGATACAAGCTGTGGAAATTTGACTTTATTGGAACAGTATGTGTCAGCTTCTAACACACTACATGCAGAATATCTTGCCTTATATCATGGACTGTGTGTTGCTCGTGAAAATAGTGTTAAAGAAGTCCAATGTTTGTCCTACTCTCAAGAACTAATTGACAGCCTTAATAGGAATGATGAACAAAAATGTGTATTGGGTGATTTGCTTGATTCCTTTACATATGTCGAAGTCTATAAAGTGCCTGTTAGTGTGGATATGTTCGCTGATGTTATGGCTCGCATGGCCGCCAGGAGATAATCGAGCCTTGTACTCCTTGGTGAGAGTGATTGTTGGGTGTTTCAAATTTTCTTAGCTGGTTGCTACTTTTTATTTGGGTTTTGGCTCAATTTTTGTGACTTTTGCCTGTGTTTTGTTTTAGCCTATGCTGCAGGGCCTTTGGTGTTGAAAAGGGCATGTGGCTGCCCCAAGTTGCAGGTCATGGATTTGGTTACAAAACCTTCTTTGTTGGAGTTTCCATTCTTGCCGGGAGGTGTTGCTTGTTTTCTCCTGTCCTTGGGTGTGTGTTTTGCAGGAGTTTTGAGGTGCTGAGTCTTGGTTTTTCTACTAGTTGGGGATTGAAGCTTTTGTTGGATTTCCTTGAGGGTGGCTGGAGTTTTTAGACTTTTTAGCGGCAGACCTTTATGCACAGACTGTGTAGTTTGTTTTGTGCCTAGATGGCCTACTTTTTTTACTGCTAGCCTTTTTTTTTTTGCAGTTGTTCTTGCTTTGGTTTCTTGGGCTTGTCCAAGGATCGTGACTTTGTAGGGTCCTTTGGTTGGGACTCATTC